TGTTTGTTCTCCTAGCAGTCCATGGTATATTCAACACTTGTCTCTAGCACCACAGCTCAAAGGCATCAATCCTCTTTCTATCAACCCTATTCACTGTCCAGATCAGGTGCACCTTAGTCTCCAGCCTGACCTCATTGCTCTTCAGTACTCTTGACAGTTCCCTCACAGCCAACTTTCCCTGGCTGCTGTTACCAAGAGTGTTGACTGTGGAGCCAAAGTAAAGTAAAACTTAACTTTCTCAATCTCTTCACCATCCATGCTGATGCTCCCATTTGGCCCAGTGGTTAGAATCTTTGTTTTCTTGGCGTTGAGCTTCAGTCTATATAGGAAGCTGTAGTCCTTGATCTTCTGCAGCAGGTGCTTCAGGTCCTCCTCAGTTTCAGCAAGCAGGGTTGTGTCATCTGTATAACACAGGTTATTGATGATTCTTCCACCAATCCTGATGCCACATTCCTCTTTGTATAGCCCAGCGTCTCGGATGATCTGTTCTGCATACAGAGTGAAAAGGTATGGAGACAGAATACATCCCTGACAAACCCCCTTCTTGATTTTGAACCATGTAGTGTTTCCTTGCTCTGTTCTGACAACTGTCTCTTGGTCCAAGTATAAGTTTCGCATTAGCACAATCAAATGTTCTGGGATTCCCATTCTTCTCAGAGTCAGCCACAGCTCTTTGTTAGCCACACAGTCAAAAGCCTTTGCATAGTCAATGAAGCACAGATAGATATTCTCCTGGTATTCTTTGCTTTCTGCTAAGATCCATCTGACATTAGCTATAATATCCCTAGTACCACGACCTCTTCTAATCCAGCCTGCACATCTGGCAGATCTCTGTTGACATATTGTTTCAAACGTTTTTGGATAATTTTCAGCAGAATCTTGCTTGCATGTGATATCAATACTATTGTTTGGTAATTTCCACACTCTGTTGGGTCACCTTTCTTTGGAATGGGAACAAATATTGATCTTTTCCAGTCAGTGGGCCAGCTGGCTGTTCTCCAAATTTCTTGGCACAACTTAGTGAGTACATCCAGGCCAATGTCTGTTTGTTGAAATATGTCAATGGTATGCCATCACCTCCTGGAGCCTTGTTTCTTGCCAATTTCTTCAGAGCAATTTGAACTTCCTCTTTCATCACCATAGGCTCTTGCTCATGTGTCATTGGTCTAGTGACAAGAAGCTTCACTGCAATCCCAGAGGTACCTGGTTTGAATCCACCAGATGTTGTACTGGAGAAGTAAGGGCAATCTCCTCCTGTACTAGTCAGATCCGATTTGACAGTACAATCCTTGCATACCTGTTATAAATCCCACTTGGTCATGGTGAATATTTTTTTGATGTATCTTTGAATTCTCTTGGCCAGTATTTTATTCAGGATTTTTGTATCTATGTTCATAAGAGATATTGACCTATAGTTTTCTACTTTGGTTGTGTCAAAGGATAAAGTTTAAGCTGCATTGGAGGCAATGGCAAAATATAAGGCACCAAGAATTTATAGGATACCAGTTAACATGTTTCAACAACAGATGTAGCCCTGAACATGCTGACCAGTCTCTGCCAGGAAATTAGAAGGACAGCTTCCTGGCCAACTGACTGGAAGAGATCCATGTTTGTTCCCATCCCCAAGAAAAGAAACCCAACAAAATATGGACATTATAGAACTATATCATTGATATCACATGCAAGCAAAATAATGCTGAATATTGTACAAAAATACTAGAACAGTACTTTGACAGAGAACTGCTAGAAGTTCAAGTGGGCTTTAGAAGGGGCTGTGGCATCTGAAATATCATTGCAGATGTCAGATGACTGAAAACAAAGAATACCAGAAGAATGTTTATTTGTGTTTTATTGACCACAGAATGCAAAGGCATTTGACTCTGTGGACTGTAACAAACTGTGGCTAAAATGAAAAATAATGAGAATCCCATAAATTTAATTGTGTTCATGCAAAACATATACCTAGATTAAAAAGTTGCAGTCTGATCAGATCAAGGGAACACTTCATACTTTTTTTTTTTTTTTTACACTTCATACTTTTATAATCAGATGTATCCATTCTCCATGCCTAACCACCATTCTGTGTGCTAAATAAATAATTCGTGAAACTGGACTCTATGTAGAAAAAAGTGTCATCAGGATTAGAGGAAAATTCATCAATAACTTGATTTGTGCAGATAACACAACCTTGGTTGCTGAAAGTGAGCAGGATTTTTAAATACTTGGTGCAGAAGATTAAGGATGACATTCTTTGGTATGTATTACCTTTCAACATAAAGAAAACAAAGATCCTCACCACTGGGCCAATAGACAGCATCATAATATATGGAGAAAGGATTGAAACTGGTGATGATTTATTCTTCCTTAGATCCACAACAACATTCTTGGTAGCAGTTATGAGATCAGGAGAAATTGCATTGGGAAAGTCTGCTCTCCGTGACTTCTCCAAAATACTGAAGAACAGTGGTGTCAGTTTCAAGATAAAGATGCATCTAATTCATGCTATAGTATTTCAGTCATTTACTATGCATCTGAGAGCTGGACAGTGAATAAGAATGGCAGAAGATAAACCTATGTGGTTGTGTGGTAGAGAAGAAAAATACTGACAATACCATGGACTGCCAAAGAACCAACAGATATGCCTTGGAAAAAGTACAGCCAGAGTGCTCCTTGAAGTTTCAATTCATATTTTGAACATGTTGCTATTCTTTGGAAAGAGACATCATGCTTGGAAAGATAAAGGGTCAGCAAAAGAGAAGACCCCTCGAGAGATGGATATTGGCACTGTGACTACAGCAATGGCTTCAGGTATGTCAGAGATGATGGGATGGCATAGATATGATAGGGTTAAGGTCTGTTGATCATAAGGTTGCTATGCATTTTACTCAACTTAGTGGCACCTCACAACAACTGAACAACAGTTAAAGATGAGCCATGGAAAGTCCAAAGCAGTATCCAGAAGCTTCATGTAGTCCCTCTGTGACATGGCTTTCTCTTCTTTCAGCTATGCACCCAACAAGGCAACTAAAGCTGCTTCCGTGCTGCTGTATTCTCTGTGGACCCACACTGAACTCCATAACTCCTACAAGAAGGTAAGAATGTGCTCCCGTTAACAGAGCCAGATAGTAATCACTTGGCTGATCTGCCTTTTGTAAGAAATAATGACAAATAACTGCATTTTGTTACTTGAAAATTTTGTTGACATTCACATTTATTTCTATTTGCTTATTCCAAAGGCTCAATTTAAGAAGACAGATTTTGTCAACAGCCGGACTGCCAAAGCCTACCACTCCCTTAAAGACTAAGAATAAAAAAAAATACTCTTGGAAATATCAACCTTTCGTGCTCAGCTACAAATAAAAAGTCCCAATGGAAAACACCTATTTTTCTACTATACAGCCCAAGAAACCTCAAAATAGCATGCCCTGTTTCTGTTTTCTATTTCTATGGTCCCCAGAATCTTAAAAACAAAAGACCAGAGTATCATTTTATCAGTCTTCCAAAAGACTTTGGCAAGTGTGCCATAAGTAAACACTGGAAGTGGGTTCTACTCCCATCGATGAATAGTGGTCTTTGTTTTCGGGGCTGATGGTGCATGGCCTCCTGAAACCAAATGTGAATTCACATGGAATGAACATTCATGGAATATATAAGGAATGAGGCTGTTGTGTTACACGGATTTGAAGAGTTGGATTTACATTTATCTTTCTCTTCTGGTTTCCATGTTTTACACGTATATACACATTGCTTTTTCACTGAGCCACGAGTGTACTGTTCTGCTGTGGTAAAACAATGGGAATAATGAGAAACTTTTGCAGTAATCCAGGAAAAACATAATGGCAAACTTATTGCTTGTTTACTTTGTGTTTCTCATCCCCTTGGAAATATGTATGTATGTACGTATATGTTTCTGTACATACATATGCACACATATGTGATTTTAAATGTTAAAAATTTAGGTCACAGATCATGCATGTTTATAAGAAAGAGAAAGTGATCATAATGCATTTGAAAATGTTTTCCACAAAGAAAGCAGCCATGGCTATGAAATTGCCCCTAAATGCTAAGTAAATGAAGTTTTGGGTTTTGTTGTTGGTTGTTTTTTTTTTCCTCAAAAAAATACTTTTCCTACAACATTACCATTGAATACAAACATCTTCTAAATGGTAACATTCAGTGTAATCTTTCCAGAATTGGTCAGCCACTGGAATACTTCCTCTCCTCTTCAACCACAATGGGAATCAAGGCCTTTTCTCAGTCTTCTGGGCCAGCCCAGGGCATTTTAACAAGTTGTATCACCAGCAGCCTAACTCTGCCTAGCATTTTAAAAACAGCACAGTGCCACCAACTCTCATGTTGGCATGTAAACTTTTAAGTCAAGGAAACTATAAAAAAATAAAGAAGCCCTCTTGAGGAAGAATGTACCCAGACCATCCAGAAATGATATGAGCAATTTTTTCGATGTTTAAAAAGCAATATTGTTTGTTGAAGCAAATCTATATTGTTATTTTAACTGCACTGTCACGGAAACCATTTATATAAAATGTCTTCTCAGTTAAAATGATTGTACACTGAAACCTGTGAAAGGCAGAATTTGATGATACTGCCATGTTTTTTTTCTGAGTCTCGAAAATTTTCCACCTTTCCCAAATGCTGTCTTACCAATTTTTCTATTTCTTTCTTCTAGTAGAAAATAGTTTGGTTGTCCTACAATGACAAGTTTCTACTTTACACACTTTGTGGCTTTCACAGATTTTATAGTATTTTACAGTGGGTTTTTGTTTTGGATTTTTTTTCCTTTTTATTTTTCTTTTTATTGAAGAAGATGATTGCCATTAAGAAAGCAAGGAAAACTACTTTAACTCCAGGAAGAAGTAGCCTAGAAATAAATATCTACTTCCTATTTGAGTACTTAAGTCTTCATTATATTTGGAACTTAAAATTTCCCCAGTTTTAAAAGCTCAATAAAGAAGACTTCCATGACTAACCTAAATCAAGATGACATCATAATATGTTTTAAATATGGATTTTTAAAATACTGGAGAAAAATAATATCTCTGTCCCATAGTTCTGATGGTAAGAATTTGGAGTCTATTTATTCCTTCAGATAATTGATCTCTGTTGAAGATGTTTCTATTTTTTTTAAGCTGGTAATAGACATTTGAGTAATATTAAACATAAAATTATACAATAATGTTGCCTGTGTATATTTGATTATATTTTTTTTATTTTGGGGGGATATGTGGCATAATTGACATGACATTTACATTTGACAATATGACTTTATAAAGTTAAATTGGTTTGTTGTTAATGTACTATCAAATCAGCAATGACTCATAGCTGACCCTTGAGAGGTGGTAAATGATGCGGGAGGAGATTGTCCATCTTTCTCCGGTGGAGCAGCTAGTAAATTCAAACTGCATGGCTTTGAATTGGCAACTCAACTTCTTACCACTAAGCCACCAAAGACGTAAATTACTAAGGGTTTAATAATATTTCTTCCCTAAAGTTTTACAATCTTTGCCAAGAAATATTAAATGTAGGAGAGAGAAGATTAGCCAATGATTAAAACACATAAAAAAAGAAAGATTTACAAATCTAGCTATTATTATCCAGAAACCAGACTCACTTCTGTCAAGTCAATTCTAACTCTTAAGAGACCTTCCATTAAGTTTCCAAGGCTGAAAATCTGTACAGGAGGAAACTGCTCACTTTTCTCCCACAGATCTCCCAGTGGAACTGAGCCTTTCTGATTAGCATCAGACAGGAAACACACTGCACCTCTGGGAGTTACTGTGAGATTTTAGTAAACTGAGAAGGTTTGTGACTATGAGAAAGACTGTGTTTGAGCTCCATGTTTTCTATTCTGCAAAAACCCAATAGTTAGGCAATTTCTAACAACTCGGACAGAGGTTTGGGTGTGAATAAATAGCAGCTTTAGTCACAGGTCTTTTCTATCTATAGAGTCTCATGCTGTGCCTGCATCATCAAAGGAAGTGACCAGCAGAACCGGGCCTTTATGTTTATTTGTGCTAAAGGTTCCGAAGGGCTTCTGCAGCGTTGGGGAGGAGGGAGATTCTTAATAGTCTTGTGGAATATGGAATGTTGCTGGCTTTTTTTCCATCTCTAGTAGTGTTTGTTTAATTCCTAATGGAAATATCCAAGGAGTTATCAGACAAGATAGAGAGAGGATTAACATATTTAGCGGGAAACATAAGCAATAGGAATAGATAAAACTACATGTAATCACTCTCTGAAGAGGCAGTGCCTTAGAAGAAACTGAAAATGAAAATATATGTAACTTTAAATAAAATTTGGATTTGGTTATAAATGATTCTTAATAATTTAATGATAAAATATAATAAAAGTGTAATGAACTCTATTATAACTAGCACACACATAGGTAACTATCTACTTGGAATGCATTTGCAGAAGCAGCCTGTACTCAACAGTCTTGGGATTAGGAGGGAATTTAAAGAACATCTGGACAAGTCTTATAGCATCTTCTCATGTCAGAAAAGACTGTTAGTAAAGTGACATGGAAGGAAAGCATGCAGCCGGTCATGCCATTAATGCCCAACATCCAGCTGCCCTATCTTAAGACTTAAGAAAGTACTTAGGGTTAAGATGAGTTTGATTTCTCAAAAAAGGACGTGTTAAACTTTTAAAATTAAATGTCTGCCTTTAAATGTAACATTTTAGGTTACAAAGGTACTGATAGTTACATCTTTCATGAAATAAACTTAAGCCTTTTAATGACTGAAGGAGGAAGCCACCAAAGATTAAAGCCACTTAATGTCATTCTATTAATGACAATACATTCAAGAAAGATTGCTGCATATTGACCTAAAAAATGTTAGACAAGCAGAAGAAAGTGGATACAAGCCAGTTGATTCTGTGTAACTCTGTCAAAGAATCTATCAATATTTAGTCTGAGGAAAGGATGCCATGCTTGTCTTTAAACTTTGAAAAACCATTGTGTGTAAAATGACAGTGTAAGTCTACCATAATACAGAAGATAAACAATGTCAGTTGTTGTCATTTTCAAGTGCTGTAACGTCAACCGCAACTCATAGTAACCCTGTGCACAATAGCTCTTTTCAATCTGTTAAGTCTCACATTGTGCCCACCTCATCAAAGGAAGTGACCAGCAGAACTGGGCCTTTATGTTTATTTGTTCTAAGGACTCCAAAGGGCTGCTGCAGCATTGGAGAGAAGGGAGATTCTTAATGGTCTTGAGGAAGCCTGCCCTGTCCTGAGCCAATCTCTCTGTCTCTGACACACCTCCCCCATTACCCCAGTGTGTCAACTGTCTCATCCTCTCCTGCACTGTCCCTTCACCTTTCCAAGAATGATGTCCTTCTCCAAGGACTGGTTCCTCCTGGAACATGCCCAAAGGATGTGAAACTAAGCTTCAAAATCGTTGCCTTAATGGAGAAACCTGATTTCACCTTCTCCAGAACAGACCTAGTTGTTCTCTGAGAAGTCCATGTTCAATACTCTCCAGTACCAAAACCCAAATGCTTTTATTATTCTGTCATCCTTAGTCACTGACCAGCTCTCTGATGCATAGCAAGTAATTATGAACTCCATGTCCTGGATCAGGCGCACCTTTGTCTCTAGATAGAAATCATTGTACTTCACATCTCTGGAGAGGTCCCTGACAGTAGATTTCCTAATGCAATTTGTGTTTTTATTTTCTGACTTCTGGTGTCAAGAGTGCTGATTGTGAACCCAAGTAAAAGGAAATTATTAATAATCTCAATCTCTTCTCCATCTATCATGGTACTCCCCAGTGGTAAGAGTCTTCATTTTATTGATGTTGTGCCTTCAATTCATACTGAGGACCTTCTGCAGCAAATACTTCAACTCTTCTTCAGTTTCAGCGAGAAAGAAGGTTTCATCTCCATAATGCACGTTTTTGATGAGTCTTCCTCCAATCCTGATGCCACATTCCTCCTCATAAAGTCCAGCCTCCTGAATGATGTGTTCCACATACAACTGAAAAGGTATGAAGAAAGGATGCATCCCTGATGGACTCCTTTACTTGATTTTGAACTATACAGTGTTTCCTTGCCCTGTCCTGAGGATAGCTTCCTGGTCCAAGTTCAAGTTTTGCATGAGCATAATAACATGCACTGGAATACCAATTCTTCTCAAGGCTAGCCACAATTTGTTGTGATCCACACAGTCAAATACCTTTGCATAATCAATGAAACACAAGAAAGTTCCTCTGGTACTCTGAGTCCAAACTCATTGCAACCTTTCATCAGGCTTCAGAGACTGTAAATCTTTAAGGGGAAAAACTACCATCTCTCTTTTTTGTTGTTGTTGTGGTTTTGTTTTGTTTTTTTTTTGTTTTGTTTGTTTTTTTTTACTGACTAGTGTATATGATAGTACTTTATAGAGGTCTCTGACAGCAGATTTGGCCAATGCAATTCATCTTTTAATTTCCGCTGCTGGTGCCAAGAGTGTTGATTGTAGAACCAAGCAAATGGAAACTGTTAACAATCTCAATCTCTTTATCATCTATCATGA